ACACTGTACCCATCACCGCCCGCATGTATGTATGTATGTATGTGTACGCAGCCCATCAACGAAGCCTTATGACGGTATACACAATATTTTTGTATCTTACCTCAACAACAGGTGATAAGATATACTTGTGTTCCCTTAACGTTAATTGACATGCCACAAGGCGATATCTTAGGCCCACCTGTAATACTTCTCTCTGATAAGACTGGACCTTCGGCCTAGAAAACAGTGCGTTAATGTTCGAAATCAGGCAAACAGAGTACAGTATTAGGTTTTATATCTAGAAGTGTAAGTAATAAGAGTGCGGAGGCCATATTGTAATTATATCTTGCCCTAATCAGGCCGCACCTCGATTATGCTGTTCAGTTCTGGTGCCCTTATTATAGAATGGATATCAATTCACTGGAGTCGGTGCAGCGAAGAATGGCGAAAATGATTCCGGGACTTAGAAACCTTCCATATCAAGATAGATTAAAGAAACTAAACTTGCATTCCCTAGAAAGACGAAGAGTGCGGGGAGATATGATAGAATATTTAAGTGGGTGAAAGGAATCAATAAAGGGGATATAGATAAAGTTCTTATAATACCCGAGCAGGATAGGACTCGTAGCAACGGATTTAAGTTGGATAAGTTTAGGTTTAGGAGGGAGATAGGAAGAAACTGGTTCATAAATAGGGTGGTGGACGAGTGGAACAAGCTTAGCAACTTTGCAGTAAGTGTTGTGACGCTGGAAAGCTTTAAAAGGAGGCTAGATAGATTCATGGACGATAGAGAGTGGTTGTAACTCTCGACAGGAGCTGCCAAGAACAGGCCAACCGGCTTATTGCAGACTCCTTATTTTCTTATGTTATGTTTTTATATATAAGAACATATATAATGTGTACCTGTGTATTTTAGGCATATTGGCTGTATATATTTAAAGTGTATAAGCTGTAGTTCTAATATGGTCCCAGTTCTTATAAGCCCCAATTCTAACCTAACTTAAATTACTCTAACCTAACTTTTCATAACCTAACCTAACTTAAATTACTCTAACCTTTATTTTCTTAAAGTAACCTAACCCAAACAAACAATAACCTACCCTAACTTCAATTACTTTAACCTAACCTAACCATAAATTAACCTTACCTTTCCTAACCTCCCCAGGTAATAAAGACTCCTGCCATAAACTTATCACAAACCATGAATAAAAAGGTAATATACTTTTATACATTCATACAACGTAAACTACATGAAAATACAATATACCATAACAATATACGACTCAGCTTTACCGTGGCCTTAGTTTAGAATTCAAGCAGTGTTTGTTTTTCTCTCTCACAGAATTAATCGCCAACTATAAAATTGGTGAACAGTGAGATTACATTTGACGAGCATTTAAACATTTAACGAACACTGAAACTCAATTTGGCGAACACTGAAACAAAATTTGGCGAACATTGAAACAAAATTTGGCGACCACAGAAACTAAGACGACGATTGGCCTCGGGAGTAAACAAAGAAACTCCTCACCTCCCCCCCCCTTGCTGGCCTGGCTTCTGAGCTGCCAACTAGTAAATATTGATGAATATATCGACCGGACAAAGGTGCTGCCGAGGAAAATAGGGTGACCGTATAGGCGTAGTAGAGGTAGAGGGGGGAGGAGGGGTTAGGGGTGTAGCTGTCTTGTGCGTGACCTGGGTGAGTTGGGGAAGGTTGGGGAGGGGGAGGAGGAGACTAGAAAGATGAGGTGTAGATGGAGAAGTGAGGAGGAATGATATAGGAAATTAATTAATCGGATCACTTAAAGAATCTCCAACTCAACTTATCTCACCTGAAGATTAATCACCCTCACACTGTTGGGGGTGGATTAGGTTAATCTTTAAAAGGACTAAACTGAGGTGGATATTTTTTAAGTGGAACAATTATTCATTACAACCAATGTGTCCAAATCCTATATTTATTTGATTTTTTTTTCAATGTAAAGTGAATATAAATTTGTACTATTATTCAAAGGTTTTGTGTAGTCATGGGAGGTGATAATGTGTTCCTGTTCTCACACACACACACACACACACACACACACACGACTTTACACGTATTTTAAGCTTCAGAGAATATCTTTCACAGTCTCCCTCGAATAAGTATAGCTTAATGTTACTGCAGACTCACCGTTATATTATATTAAATTTCCAACATTATTTTTATTTCTTTTTAATGTTTTTGTTTTTATAGTTGTATATTTACTTCCTCATCATTTGTTTTTCCTCATAATTTGTTTTTCCTCGCAGTGTTTTTTTTTTCTGAAGGTAGAGAAAAACAACAACAACAGTATCTCACCATTGTCGCCTCACCAAATATTCTGCCTCGTATACAAAGCAGAATCAAGACTAATATAATTCTTGAACGTCAAAACATTAAATAAAAGATGAAAAATATATTAAACAAAAAATACTTGTATAAGAGAATAAATACCTAACACCACACATTCTTTAGTTAAATATTATAAATCGAATCTTTCAAAAGGTAATAAATTTTAGTATGGATCACGAGGTGCATACTTGTGTAACTGTACTTAATATAATGTGTTTGTCGGGAGGCGCGCTCACACACACACACACACACACACACACACACACACACACACACACACACACACACACACACACACACACACACACACACACACACACACACACACACACACACACGTCTTTCACATAACAAGCGAGAAAATATTGTTGCACGTCTATACAGTCTGTTGTTCGCCCCGTGCTGCCTTTGGTGGTGATGTGAGGGAGATAATAATTTTGCACGTCAGAGTAATTTCCAACTTTTACCTGTTGGCACACCTGACGGCGGCCCACACTAATGATATACCAGTTATTGGTGTTTTCTTTTGTTATTTTATGTGTAGCTGATAATAAAGTTCTTCTTTTATTATTATTATTATTATTATTGAAATTCCTATAGACCTATACACACTAATTTACACTACCGGTTGTGTGTCTACCTGAAGCTATGTGTACCTGAAGAAAGATCTACCTGAAGCTGTGTCTACCTGAAATTATGTGTACCTTAGGCTGTGTGTACCTGAAACTGTGTATTCCTTAGACTTTGTGTACCTGTGGTTGTGTGTGTGTGTGTGTGTGTGTATACTTGGGGCTGTGTGTACCTAAGATTGTATTTGAGTGCTTGAAATGGTGTGTGTGTGTGTGTGCCTGAGGCCGTGTGCGTTAGATGCTGCATGTACACTCAGGTCCGCGTACACATCTCTAGGTTGGTTGTCAGCCACCACTTCCGGCCTGGCAGTAATGATGCTGTGGCCGCAGCGTTCCCGCGCCTCTTGCGGGAAAGAACACAGCCGCTCGTCGCTGGGAAACTGCGGGAGATGACACCACGCCTGCGGTCTACCCCTCCCGCAAGCTGCAACCTGCTGCACGCACCCTACCACACACACCCTAACTACCACATGTACCGTACCTCATGTTCTCCAGACACACCTTACCCTACGTGTGTGTGTGACACTATGGGTAAGTTTCTTTACGCCATTTGCCTCTGTCTACCCAGCAGTAATTGGAAACCTGGATGTTAATCGAATTGCGGATCGTTTTCCGGGGTAATGGTTAGCCAGTGCAGTTGGCGAGTTGTCCGGTCTTCTCGGACTATTCCTTGACGCTGGGTCATGCACGGTACTTTATGTAACTGTATATTTTCAGCCTTCTGGATGCTATGCTCTTTCAATAAGCTGTGAATTATTATTATTATTATTATTATTATTATTATTATTATTATCGTGTTACTCTCCCTCATCATCCCCCCTTCCTCGTCATCTCACACTTCCTTCTCGCTCTCACTTACCTCACACCGTCTCCCACCTTAAAATCACTCACCGCTAAACACGTCTCTGAGTCAACCCATCAAGAAATTCCCAACTTACATAATAATAATAATAATAATAATAATAATAATAATAATAATAATAATAATAATAATAATAATAATAATAATAATAATAATAATAATAATAATAATAATAATAATAATAATAATAATAAATTAGAACATCATCTCTCAATATTCCTCAAAACTTCAGCTCATCACCAGTATACCGGACATTTGTAACCAGTTAGTAGCGCTCACCGGCGGACAACAGGTGTAAGTGTAACAGACGGGTGTTAGCAAGCTGCCATACACAGGTGCGTCAACACAAGTCGCAGCTGTAGGCCTGGTGATGATCCTGGCTGATAGATTTACGGGCAGGTGAGAGGACAACTTCCTCGGGCTGTCCAACACACCTGTATGTGTGTGTGTGTGTGTGTGTGGAGGGTTGGAGGGGGGGTGGTGGGGGAGAAGGGGGGTGGTTGGTGGAGGGAACACATGTGCAACTACCACCATCGTTATCACAACTACTACTACTACTATCATAATTATTAGTATGTACTGTATGTTACGTTGTCATGTATAATCAATAATCATTTTACGCTACCGCTCACAGGAGGAGTATGGAGTGTACAATAAACTAGCTGGTGTTAGGTTAGGTTAGGTGGCAAAACTCAAATCCAAATTTCCCACCCCTTCGATCATGAAAGGGTGATGAGGTTTGTATGAGGCGTGTATGAGGTGTGTATGAAGCGTGTATGAGGCGTGTATGATGAGGCGTGCATGAAGCGTGTATGAGGTGTGTATGGGGCGTGTGTGGGGGCATGTATGGGGGCACATTATGAGGTGTATGAGGCGTACATAGGGTGTATGAGCGTCTGAGGTGTGCATGAGGGTGTATGGGGCGTGCATGGGGTGTATATGGGGCGTGCATGGGGTGTATGAGGCGTGTGTGAGGTGTGTTTAAGATGTGTATGAGGGTGTATGAGTGTATGACGTGTGTGAGGCGTGTACAGGGGTGTGAATGAAGCGTGTACAGGGTGTGAGGAACCATGGGATGAGTCTGAAGGTGTACTTAAGAAGGTAAATCAAAATTATTTTACCAGGAACGAACAGACTAGAGCGAGCGGACTGACCGAATATGAAACGAACAGACGAACAGACGAACGGACGGACGGCGATACAGGAACGAACAGACGAACGAACGGAACAGGGCGGCCAGATGCAGGAACGAAAAGACGAACGGACGGACGGCCCCAGTCAGGAACGAATTGAGACAGACGGACGGTCCAGATACAGGAACGAAAAGACAATGAACAGACGAACGGACGGGACGGCCAGATACAGGAACAAACAGACGAACGAACGGACGGTCCGGGTACAGGAACGAACAGACCGACGGACGGGCGGCCAGATACAGAACGAACAGACGAACGGACGGACGGCCAGATACAGGAACGAACAGACGAACAGACGGGACGGTCAGATACAGGAACGAACAGACGAACGAACGGACGGTCAGATACAGGAACGAGCAGACGAACGGACGGTTAGATACAGGAATGAACAGACGAACGAACGGACGGACGGCCAGATACTGGAACAAACTGACGAACGGACGGCCAGATACAGGAACGAACAGACGAACGAACGAACGGACGGCCAGATACAGGTACGAACAGACGAACGGACGGCCAGATACCATTAAAACAAAAAATTAAAAACTCCTTCACGGTTAGGTAATATTTTGCATCAGGTCAGGATGCATAAAAACATTCTAATATTAACAACAACAACAAATACAACAAGAACAACAAACACAACAAGACACCGGGGAGGTATAAAAAAAAAAGCTTGATTTATAGCACTAAGCTGACATTTAAGGGGCGAAGGTGATGGTGGTAGCGATAATTATAGTTGTGGTGGTAGTTATCGAGTTGAGAGTAGTTCTGATGTTGTCTCAGATAATAATGCAAAACAAATAATAATAATAATAATAATAATAATAATAATAATAATAACTACATTATTATTATTATTATTATTATTACATTCATGATGATGATCAGTAGTAGTAGTAGTAATAGCAAGAATTAATTAAACATATAACCATCTCTACCAGCCCTCCATCCCCCCTCCCCCCCCCCTCCCTCCCAGCTTACGTCAGCATCGCCGAGGGAGAGAGAGGGAGGAAGAAGGGGGGGGGGGCTATACATGAAGCAGGTGTACAGGTGTGTGGACAACTGTTGCAGCTAAATCACTTAATTATCCCACCTGGCCTCACCTACCCTCCCTCACCAACTGGCTGGTGTGTGTGTAGAGGTGAGGAAAGAAAACCGTACCCTTGGCCCCTTACATGTGGGGTTATAACGCCTGGCCAATAGTATATCTGATTAATACAATAATATAGTCCGATTAATAATATATCTTGATTAATATATCTGCCCTAATAATACTGTATATCCTGATCCACCAGTATATCTTGACCAATAATATATCCTAATACTACAAAGGGATTGGAGTTAGGTTAGGTTAGGTTAGGTTAGGTTAGAGTTAGGTTAGGTTAGAGTTAGGTTAGGTTAGGTTAGGTTAGGTTAGGTTAGGTCAGGTTAGGTTAGGTTAGGTTAGGTTAGGTTAGGTTGGTTGGGTTAGGTTAGGTTAGGTTAGGTTGTCTCTGGTTTGTCCGGAACTGTTAATAAATTATTCAATAAGTAACACTCAAAATTTTAACATCTTCAATTTAGCGAACTGACTGACTGACGAGTGTGATGACTGACTGACGAGTGTGTTGACTGACTGACGAGTGTGATGACTGACTGACGAGTGTGTTGACTTACTGACGAGTGTGTTGACTGACTGACGAGTGTGTTGACTGACGGCAGAGTGTGTTGGCTGACTGACGAGTGTGTTGACTGACGGCAGAGTGTGATGACTGACTGGCGAGTGCGATGACTGACTGACGAGTGCGATGACTGACTGACGAGTGCGATGACTGACTGACAGGTGTGTTGACTGACGGCAGGTGTGATGACGGCTGACGAGTGTGTTGGCCTGACCCCGGCGAAGTGTGTTGACTGACTGACGGTGTGTTGACTGACTGGCAGGTGTGTTGACTGACTGACAGTGTGATGACTGACGGCGAAAGTGTGTTGACTGACTGACGAGTGTGTTGACTGACTGACGGGGTGCTGATGACGACTGGCAGAGTGTGATGACTGACTGACGAGTGTGTTGACTGACTGACGAGTGTGATGACTGACCCGGCAAGTGTGATGACTGACTGACAGAGTGCGATGACTGACTGACGGCGAGTGCGATGACTGACTGACGGGGTGCGATGACGGCTTGAGCAGTGTGTTGACCCGGCTGACGAGTGTGATGACTGACTGACAAGTGTGATGACTGACTGACGAGTGTGATGATGACTGACTGACGGGTGTGATGACTGACTGGCGAGTGCGATGACTGACTAACGGTGCGATGACGGCTGACGGGGTGTGTTGACTGACTGACGAGTGTGATGACCCGGCGAGTGCGATGACTGACTGACGGTGCGATGACTGACTGGCCAGAGTACGATGACTGACTAACGAGTGTGTTGACTGACTGACGAGTGTGATGACTGACTGACGGTGTGATGACTGACTGGCCGAGTGTGATGACTGACTGACAGGTGCGATGACGTGGCAGGTGCGATTATTTGTGACAGGTGTGTTGACTGACTGACAGAGTGTGATGACCTGACTGACAGGTGTGATGACTGACGGCAGGTGTGATGACTGACTGACGAGTGTGATGACTGACTGAAAAGTGTGATGACTGACTGAAAAGTGTGATGACTGACTGACGAGTGTGTTGACTTACTGACGAGTGTGTTGACTGACTGACGAGTGTGATGACTGACTGACAAGTGTGTTGACTGACTGAAAAGTGTGATGACTGACTGAAAAGTGTGATGACTGACTGACGAGTGTGTTGACTTACTGACGAGTGTGTTGACTGACTGACGAGTGTGATGACTGACTGACGAGTGTGTTGACTGACTGACGAGTGTGATGACTAACTGACGAGTGTGATGACTGACTGACGAGTGTGATGCAGGACGCCACACTATTTACTATACTGGGAATGACTCGTGCAATAGGTTCTCCAGTCTTAGATATTCAGATAAAACCATAAAAATCTTTACTTCGAAGACTGTAACGACCAGGGTTAGGTTAGGTTAGGTAAGGTGACGCCCGTTTGATCCACCATGAGGCTGCCTCGGGCCCTCTGACTTCACCTGTAGCAGTTGATCAATAAACAGGTAAGTATTGACAGGTGTTCCCAGTTGTTCGCCATATAATTAACACCAGTTGTGGCTATAACCTCACCTCTTCTTACGTAACCTAACCAAACCTTACCTAACCTAACCTAACCTAACCTCACCTCTTCTAACCTAATCTATAACCTTACCTAACCTCACCTCTTCTTACCTAACATAATCTAACCTAACCTAACCTTACTGAACCTAACCTAATCTAACCTTACCTAACCTACCCTAACCTAACCTAACCTCTTCTTACGTAACCTAACCTAATCTATAACCTTACCTAACCTAGCCTCACCTCTTCTAACCTAACCTAACCTCACCTCTTCTAACCTAATCTAACCTAACCTAACCTCACCTTTTCTTACCTAACATAATCTAATCTAACCTAACCTAACCTAACCTAACCTTACTGAACCTAACCTTACCTTACCTTACCTAACCTAACCTAATCTAACCTAACCTAACCTAACCTAACCTAACCTAACCTAACCTAACCTAACCTAACCTAACCTAACCTAACCTAACCTAACCTAACCTGCAGGAATTTTTTTCATTTAATTTTTTGTTGGTTAATGTCCAGTGATTTTACTTTAAGTGACTTTATTGGTTCACCACACGTCGCTACCCGTCAAACACACATACAGTATAGAGTATATATATTAGCACGCGCGCGCACACATCGTTGACGGGGTTCTTCATGCATATTGCTGAGAAAAAAAATATATATCGTATCTTTAATTTTAGATAACGTGTTAAGTGAACATTATATCATAAAAAATATTAACTGAAACTATCATATTAAACTTATATCGTTTTATACCTTTTACGACTTATTTACGTATTTTTAAATCATTTCTATGAAGGAAATTAACCGTTACCAAAATAACCCAGAATGGACGCTGATGAATAAAGATAAATATTAATACAATAAATTTGTCTGTCTTGCTCTGCTATCAACATTATATATATATATATATATATATATATATATATATATATATATATATATATATATATATATATATATATATATATATATATATATATATATATATATATATATATATATATATATATATATATATATATATATATATATATATATATATATATATATATATATATATACTGTATGAAGCGGCCCGGGGCAATAAGTAGATGAACGACGAAATTAATAATAACAATAATAATAATAATAATAATAATAATAATATTAATAGTCAGAAAACACAGTTAAAGTTTAACAAATTTTAAATAATTATAATGGCATATAAAGCACACAATGAGTCTCAGAAAAATGTCTACACACTCCTTTACAGACTGTCCGTGGAGATGTGTGAATGTTTGTATAGTAGCAGCAGCATTGTCCTCACTTAGGGCATCCTCGGCATTAATAAGTGTTGTAATACAATAATTCACGCCATCTCCACGAAGATTATGTAAAGGAGTGAGAAGACTTTTTTTCTGAGGCACCTCATACACGTAGGCAGGATGCCCGCCCCCCCCACACGTGTCTTGAACCTCTCCTTCCCATGGCCATCTATAGTCCTGGGCCGCCACCTGCTGAGGTGTTCCCCCTGGGCCGCCACCTGCTGAGGTGTTCCCCCTGAGCTGTCTACTACTGGGTGTTTCCCCTGGGCCGCCCACTGGTGAGGTGTTCCCCTGGGCCGCCCACTGGTGAGGGGGCCGCCCACTGGTGAGTGTTCCCTGGCCGCCACTGGTGACCCCTGGGCCGCCCACTGGTGAGGTGTTCCGGGCCGCCCACTGGTGAGGTGTTCTGGGCCGCCCAACTACCCCTGACTGGTGTGTTCCCCCTGGGCCGGCCCACTGCAGCTGGTGAGGTGTCCCCCTGGGCCGAGACTGGTGAGGTGAGGTGTCCCCTGGGCTGCCCACTTGAGGTGTTCCTGCCGCCCACTGGTGAGGTGTTCCCCTGGCCGCCCAGCCCACTCCCCTGGGCCGCCCACTGAGGTGTTCCCCACTGCTGAGGTGCCCCTGGGCCGCCCACTGCTGAGATGTTCCCCTGGGCCCCCAGGTGAGGTGTTCCCCCTGGGCCGCCCACTGCTTACGGTGTTCCCTGGCCGCCCACTGCTGAGGTGTTCCCCCTGCCGCCCACAGGTGAGCTGGGCCGCCTGCTGCTGAGGTGCCCCCGCCGCCCACTGTACGGTGCTTGGGCCGCCCACTGGTGAGATGTTCCCCTGGGCCGCCCACTGGTGAGGTTCCCTGGCTGCCCCACTGGTGAGATGTTCCCCCAGGCCGCCCACTGCTGAGGTGTTCCCCTGGGCCTCCCACTGGTGAGATGTTCCCCAGGCCGCCCACTGCTGAGGTGTGTCTCCTGGGCCAACCACTGCCCCCCAGGCCCCTGGTGCCCGCCCACTGGTGAGATGTTCTGTGGTGAG